CTTTCCTATCAAACATCTAACGTCCTTGTCTCTCCTCTTTCTTTCCTATCAAACATCTAACGTCCTTGTCTCTCCTCTTTCTTTCCTGTCAAACATCTAACGTTCTTATCTCTCCTCTTTCTTTCCTGTCAAACATCTAACGTTCTTATCTCTCCTCTTTCTTTCCTATCAAACATCTAACGTCCTTATCTCTCCTCTTTCTTTCCTATCAAACATCTAACGTCCTTGTCTCTCCTCTTTCTTTCCTATCAAACATCTAACGTCCTTGTCTCTCCTCTTTCTTTCCTGTCAAACATCTAACGTTCTTATCTCTCCTCTTTCTTTCCTGTCAAACATCTAACGTTCTTATCTCTCCTCTTTCTTTCCTATCAAACATCTAACGTCCTTATCTCTCCTCTTTCTTTCCTATCAAACATCTAACGTCCTTGTCTCTCCTCTTTCTTTCCTATCAAACATCTATAGTCCTTGTCTCTCCTCTTTCTTTCCTATCAAACATCTAACGTCCTTGTCTCTCCTCTTTCTTTCCTATCAAACATCTAACGTCCTTGTCTCTCCTCTTTCTTTCCTATCAAACATCTATAGTCCTTGTCTCTCCTCTTTCTTTCCTATCAAACATCTAACGTCCTTGTCTCTCCTCTTTCTTTCCTATCAAACATCTATAGTCCTTCTCGTACCTCCTTTTTCCCTGTCAAACATAACACATCGTCCTTGTCTCTCCTCCCTATTACCTTTGTATGTTACCCTCCTATTTTGGTACCTCTAATCTTGGCCACCTAAATGACTTATGAACACTCTGAATCAGGTTGAAAAATGTTCGGAACCCCCCCCCCCCCCCCAAAAAAAGAACTTTAGAAATAAAAAGGCGGGCAAGAAGTCAGTTCAGGATACGCCTCACCACAACTGAGAGAGAGAGAGAGAGAGAGAGAGAGAGAGAGAGAGAGAGAGAGAGAGAGAGAGAGAGAGAGAGAGAGAGAGAGAGAGAGAGACCTCAGCCCTTTGCGGCTTCTGTATTTCAAAACTTGCCCAGTGCATAATGATTATTTAACACTTGGCTCCTACATTTTTGACCAGATCTAGTCTAATGCAAAGTGTTTATGTGACGTGTTGCCAAGAGGTGTTCTATTGTAAAGGAAAAAAGTAAACTTAAGTTCTCCATTTTGAACTTACTAGCCCTTCTACGCCCATCTGAGGTCTCCTCTCTCATTGGGGCCCCATTTGGCGTCATGCGTGTGGACACTTTTAACTTAAGTTTGGATTCGAGGGGGGGGGGGGTGGTTGTCGAAATTTACTTTTACCTCTTATTGACAAACAAAGAAAACCAGCAGGCCACACAACAAGGGGATGTGTCAAGTAAAAGAAAAGAAACAGAATATGAATATAGCCTCTTAGTGCTGTGTTTTAGATTTGAATAAAAAGACAAAATGAAACACAAAGAGTATCAGGTGCTAATTTGACGACGCAACCTTTCAAAAATTCGACAAAAGGAATTCATAAAACATGCCATTGCAACCAATCCACCTCCTTCCTCCCTCCTTGGTAAGGGAAGACATCTTTGTTTGGTTAGTGGGCCCTATAGTCTCCTCTTTCTTTTTGCGCAGTGATACTATCATTAAATCTGTTCATCTTGTAATGTTTCTGTCATCAGACAACTTTGACTACGTCCCAAGAACAGGCTCATGTGCTTTCAGACCTGCATACAAAGCATACACAGAAATAATTCGCAAACTCACACGTACACAGATTCTCTCTCTCTCTCTCTCTCTCTCTCTCTCTCTCTCTCTCTCTCTCTCTCTGTGTGTGTGTGTGTGTGTGTGTCTCTCTCTCTCTGTCTGTTTGTCTCTCTCTCTCTCTCTCTCTCTCTCTCTCTCTCTGTCTCTCTCTCTCTCTCTCTCTGTGTCTCTCTGTCTCTGTCCATGTATCTCTCTCCCTCCCTCTCTTTCTTTCCCTCTCTCTCTCTCTCCATTTCTCTCTCTCTAACACACACACGCGCTCACAGACACACACACACAAACACACACACACACATACACACACACACACACACACACACACACACATACAAAAAGTATTCAAAGATTTCAAAGTACCCCGCTAGTTTAACTCAATCAGCCCTCTCCTATATGAACTTCAAATTTCAAGGTCCATCCCTGAAATAGCCTTGCATTAATGGAGAACGCGCCAATCTTACGCTAGGCGGATTTATCAAACGCATCCCTCAAAAGAACATGGTTGTTTTTTCTTTCTTTCCAGGCAATCTGTGACACTTTCACGGAGAGCCCCCAGGCTCGTCACATCGACTCGGAGATCGACTTGCGGCTCCGTGAGTCAGAACTTGCTGACCACATTGTGGTAAGTGACACGTTGTTGCTGCTTTTGTTCAAATAATACAGGCTCGTCAGAATTCGATCTTGTACTATAATAATTCAAGGGAAGGTGCTATTGAAATTGAACACTTTTTAAATTCACCATATATGCGTTTTCTGTTATAACTGTTTTCAGTGTAATTGAGGATAATTGGTGAGGGATTTGAATGTATAGAATCATCATTCCTAGAAAACCGAGAGGAATATTATGTTAAGGCTGCTTTTTCATACTTTTTTTAACGGATTAAGTAGCTTGTCTCATTTCATAAGATACTTTTAC